ATCATTTAGAATGGAAGGGCAGATCCAGTGCTTCCAGAAAAAGTCAAGTTAAAGGAGTTCATCACCACCAAGCCCTTATTATATGAAATGTTAGAGGGACTGATCTAAGAAAAAGAAGATCAAAAACTATGAACAGTAAAGCAGAGGGGGGGGGGGGGGGGGGAAGAATGGGGGGAAAGGTACAGGGAATAAGCAGCATAAATAGTAGGCACAAAATAGGCAGGGGGAGGTTAAAAATAGGATAGGAAATGGAGATGCCAAAGAACTTATATGTACAACCTATGGACATGAAGTAAGCGGCGGGGGGGGGAGATTGCTGGGGGTGGGATGGTGTAGTGTGTAGGGTAATAAAGGGGAGGGAAAAAATGGGACAACTGTAGTAGCATAACCAATTAAAAAAAATCATATTGAAAAAATTATACTACAGAGCTATGATAATCAAACAGCGTGGTATGTCCCTGGCTGATTGGCTCACTGGGTTGGTGCACTGTGCTGTACACCAAAAGCTGTGGGTTCACTCTCCAGTCAGGGTGTGTGTGGGAGGCAACTGATTGATGTTTCTCACATCAATGTTCCTCTCTCTCTCTCTCAAATCAATAAACATATCCTCAGGTGAGGATTTAATGAAAAAACAAACAGCATGGTATTGGCAGAAAAACAGACACACAGATCAAAAGATAGAATTGAGAGCCCACATGTATATGGTCAAATAATTTCTGACAAAGGAGCCAAAAACACACAATGGACAAAAGAAAGCATCTTCAATAAATGGTGTTGGGAAAATTGTAAGGCCATGTGCAAAAGAATAAAAGTAGATTGCAGTTTGTTCCCATGTACAAGAATTAATTCAAAATGGATCAAAGACTTACATATAAGATCTGAAACAATAAATTACAAAGATGAAAACATAGGTACTAAACTTACAGACCCTGGTCGTAGAGAACATTTTATGAATTTGACCCTAAAGGCAGGGGAAGTAAAGGCAAAAATAAATGAATGAGACTCTATCAACTAAAAAGTTTCTGCACAGCAAAAGCAACCAACAATAAAACAAAAAAGCAACCAACCGAATGGGAGACGACATTTTCAAACAATAGCTCTGACAAAGGGTTCATATCCAAAATATATAAAGAACTCACAGAACTCAGCACCAAACAATCCAATTTTAAAATGGGCGTAAGACCTAAACAGGCACCTCTCCCAAGAAGACATATAAATGGCCAACAGATATATGAAAAGATATTCACTAGCTATTAGGGAAATGTAAATCAGCATTACAATGAGATACCACCTCATACCTGTTAGAATGGCTATTATCAACAAGACAGGTAGTAACAAATATTGGAGAGGGTATGGAGAAAAAGGAGTGGTTCCTCAAAAACTTAAGAATAGAATTACCATGAAATCCAGCAATTCCTCTTCTGGATATCTACCTGAAAAACTTGAAAACATTAATTCACAAAGATATATACACCTGCTATGCTCACTGCAGCATTATGCACAGTGGGCCAACCAAAGTGTCTTTCAATAGATGACTGGATAAAGAAGATGTGGTACATATATGTTCTATGGAATTCTATTCAGCCATGTGATGAAATACTGCTATCTGTGACAACATGGATGCTAATCAAAATCAGTCAGTCAGAAAAAGCTAAGAACCGTATGATTTCACTCATATGTGGAATACAAAACAGAAACTCATAGACACAGACAACAAGATAGTGGTTATGGGATGGGAGGAAATAGGGCGGGAAGACAGTAAAGGGTAAAGGAGGCGTAATATATGGTAATGGAAGATTATTTTACTTTGGGTGGTGGGAACACAATGTAATATACAGATCATTTATCACAGAAATGTACGCTTGAAATCTATATGATCCCATTAACCAATGTCATCCCAATAAAGTTAATAAAAAAATAAATAAATAATAAAAATATTTTCAGAGATGATTTGTGTCACTGCCCAATCATGGCAGATAATTAAGAGCTGAATTGGAATTATAAATGGCCAAAAGGTAGTTCAACAAACATTTTCATAAAATATAGCAGACAATATAAGTGAAATAACTCTTCCAATTAAAAAGGGAAACTACAAAACCATACTGGCTTACAATGACATCGATTTTTAGGGGTTTACAGTGAAAAAACACCAAAATGAGTTAGGAGAGTAAAGTTTTTAAAAAGCAAGGAAAATAGAAGGACTAATGATAGAAAGATAGTAAAGTAGGTCACACATTAGCAAGAAAGACTTGAAGCATAAGGGCACCCAAAATATGGCAATGTAATTGAAAATTATTTGGGGTGCCTCCAGATCTGTTAAGGAAAATTACTGTCTAAGTGAAAACAAGAAATGTAGCTGCTTGGCTAAAAAAGTTGCTCCTACACACTAGCAAATGCAACCCAAATAAATGCCTCAGCCTAATTACAAACTATTATAGATAACTCAAAAATAGCTAAAATTAAAAATGTTAATCTGTAAATTCCAAGGATACCATTAATGTACAAGAATAATGTAAACTACGCTCTATAGTTAACACGTTTTGTTCTTTTGGGGTGCTGAATTATTCGAGTTCTCATTTCTCTGCCAATTAGACAAAAAATAGAAGACAATTAATTATCACAGGAACATTCACTTATTGGAGCCGAATATTTGATGTAGTAGACATATCCTACTCTTTTTGACTTTTCAGCATCTTTGCTGTTAAGGAACTGTCTCTTCTCCTACTTCACAAAGATTCCAGTGGAGCTGATAATTATGTAGACCATATCCACTATCATGCAGGGTTCCTCATCTGTGTCTGAGAGTCCCAAATAACAGATACATCTTAGAAAACTCTCTAGTTTAAACACAGTTGAGCATCTAGGCACCAACTTCTGTATTACGCAACTCTAACATACTTATCAGGTTGCCTTGCTTCCAGCATCAAATTCAGGAGTGAGGATACAGGGATAATGACAGCAGCAGGTAACAGTGAGGGAAGAGAAAAATATCTAAAAGCACACATCATTAAAAGACATAGTAGCCTTTGAAAAACAGTTTGGCAATTCCTTAAAAAGTTAAGCATAAGCTTTCCATATGACCCAGCAATTCTTCTCCTAGGAATCTACCCAAAAGAAATGAAAACATGTACACAGAAAGACTTGTATGTAACTGTTCACAGCAGCAATATCCATTATAGCCAAAACTGGAAACAATTCAAATCTCTAACAAAAAAGTAACAAAATGTAAAATATTCACTTATGTGATTGAATACTATTTTTCAATAAAAAAAGGAATGAAATATTGACACATGCCATAATATGAACTGTAAAAACATGCTGATGCTAAAGATTACATACTGCATGATTCCATTTACGTGAGATGGCCAGAAATAGAAATTTACAGAGATGGAAAGCATATCAATGGCTGGCTAGGCCTGTGGGTGGGAATGCGGACTGACTGCAAACAAATTTGAAGAAATCTTTGGGCAGATGAAATGTTCTAACAGTGGACTGTGGTGATAGCTGCACAACAGTATAAAGTGTATAAAGTTACGAATAATCATTAAGTTGCACATTTACACTGAGTGAATGTTATAATATCCAAATTACATCTCGATAAAACTTAAAAAGTAGTCATTTGATGTGGGAGCAAATAGTTTTAAAGCTAATGCGGGCTTCCTTTTCACTATTACTATAAATAGTAATAATAATGACAGTCCTGCGTTATCAAGAACTGGCTCAATTATTTATGTTTGTATACTCTAAATCGTTTAAAATATGTTTTGAAAAAGTCCAAAAAGTTAAATTCCCTTAAAGGAAACGATAATCCTCAGATCTGAGTTTATGTAACAGCTAGCCTGGCTTCAGACTACCTATAACCCTGGATATCCATTCTACAAATACATCAATTTTACTGGAAAAACAAAATTCAAAGAGTTAAGTCCCATCACTACTAGTAGCTCACAGGTCACATTATTATCTTCCTACCAATGGAGAGCATTACTTCAAATCTCTTAGAAGGAAAATATTATAAAACCCTGAGAAGGATCAGTATGAATTTATACTCCTGCCCTACAGTTGACATATAATGTTCAATGGATTCTCCTAAGGCCCCACAGGGTAAAAAAAGATTAAAATGTTATTTATATCCAATATTGATAGTATTTGCAAAGAGGAGCTCCTTAAATATGTCTGTGTGAGTGAAGGTAATTGTTTCACTGATTAAGATTACTAATGCAACTCGTTAGAGACATTCAGTGGAGGACGCATGACAAACAAAACATTACATTAGAAGTTAAGAAATTTTACAGGACAAAATATCCCGACTATCTAGCCGTGAAATTTCACTGAACTTCAAAAAGCCTAATACAGAAGTTGTACTAATTTTTAAAGCTCTCTTTCAGCACTAAAATGGATGCCAATTTTTTTTATATAATAGGAGCAAAAAAATTTTGTTAAATGCTTATTCTGGACCAGACACTATTCTACGCACTTGAGATGCTTATACGATATGAGTTATATGCTTTAACTCATGTATTAATACACTCAATGTATTAATTCCGATTACAACTTTACAAGGCAGGTATAATGACTATCTCCACTTTATAAAAGAAGCTAGAGTCGTGCATTAACTAACTTGATCAAGGTCGCTGACAGAACCAGGATTCACATCCAGGAAGTATGGCTCTGGCATTGTTAAACTCTGGGTGTCTGTTAGAAATCACCGCGCTCAGCTAACAATTCCTCCCCACCAAACCCGCAGGCTCCCGGACAGTTTCAGCCTCCTATTTGCATTTCGGAACCGCCCCCATTCCTGCCAGGACCCCGCTGGTGTGAAGGACCTAGGCCGGGCCTCACAGCCGCCTCCCAAGGGAGGAGACGAGTGATCAGCTTGCGCCAACTCCCGCAGAGGGAGATCGAGAGGAAGAGGGCCAGCCCGTCTCTCGTTCCCCCTTACCCCCTCCCAGGCCTCGGACCAGCCGCCTGGGTCCCCAGTAGTTGTCGGCCCCCACGCTCACCTGCCGTCTGGCTCTGGCCTGGGGGTGTCGGGTAAAGGGCCCGCGGAGCTACCCGCGCAGAGCTCGGAAGCCCGGCGGCTTCGTCTCCGCGGCTGGGGCTGTTTCTGGGCCGCCAGCTCGGGGTCCATGGCGCAGACGGAGGTGGGGCGGTGGACTGGTGCCCGGGAAGCCTGCTGGGACGGGCACTGAGCCCAACCACTTCTGTCCCGAGACAAGTTTCTGTTATGAACGCAGCGCCACTGTCGCCGCCATCTTCCGGGGTTTGAAAATGGCGGCCTCGCTGCGACCAGCCAATCAGGAGACAGTGGGGGGTTGCTAGGAAACGCGAGTCCCGCCCTTCTCCCTTCCTGGTCCTTCTACCGCACTCCATCCTCCCATCGCCGAAATGGAAGCAGGGAAGAGTTGTTGGAAGGGGTTTACCTGCAGGTATTTTGGGTGTCCTTGAGTTTTATTCTGACTCCATTCCTGAATCCCCAAGGCCCCATACCTTGTTCACTGTTTGTTAGGTCTTTCACTTTAGGCCACGGCACAAGAGAGGTTGAAAGTAATGACCTAAGATGAGGTTTGTTTTTTGGTCACATAGGCAGAATTATTCATGTTAAATAAACCCCAAGTTACCAAAGTTAAGGAAATGTATTCCAACGGCTGCTCTAGGAAACCATTAAAATCTAATTTTGAGCCCTCCTGTTTGCCAATGGGAGGAGGCAATCTCTCCTTCAGCAACAGAATGAGGAACGTAGCAGAAGGCACGTCACATGACGACCTTCTCAAATAAAACAGACAATTGTTAAACAGCACCTTCTTTGATTTTAAATATTGCATTTCATATGTCCGAGGCTTTAAATTAACCTCTCTGTTGACTATGGTTCTATTTCTGGGACTCTATCCAAGGAACTAAAACTGTATGTACATTGAAGAGTGGCAGAATATGCTATCCCAAATATGCTGCTTTGTTATCAATTGTTTTGAGCTACAGATGTTGTCAATGGGAATTAGGTTCTTCCACGAGGTCACAAGAAAAGCATTTCAGGGACCCACACATGGGAGACTGTGGTGTGGCATGGTTCATTTGTTTGGAAATAGAAGCTGCCTCCTGGCTTTCCAATGTCCCATCTCTGTCCTGTGATGGAAAAAGTCCAACCATGTTCTTAGCAAGGCCAAGACAAAGCCAGTGTTCAGAGTTGCTGTTCCGTATTAAAGTATAGTCCAGTTCAGCATCCAGCCAGCTTAGTGGGTGTTTCCAGCTATAGTCCACTTCAGGTTCCTTCCTGGAGCCTGCATGTGGAGTTGCATGGCTATGGGTCATGTGGCAGCTAGGACAGCTAGGAGGGACTTATGAATGCATGGGGCGAGTGTGGGTCACCCAGGTGAGAAAGAGAGGGAGTGAGTGCTTTTATGTTCTGCTGGGAGTGTATTAGCTTGGGTGTGGGACACACCAGGTGCCTAATTAAAGGAACCAGTCAACTTCCTAAACTTCTTTGGGCTTTAGATGAGTCAACCTCTCAATCACTATCTTCTTTCCAGGCTAGACTAACAGGCCTCGAGTGGTCCAGCACCTTCTGCACCTCCTGCACCATTTTGACTTATATTGAACTGTATACCTTCCCACACTCCCACGTAACAATCTGGGACTGGAGGTGGGGAAGGGGCGAGTGTTAATCCTGTTGGCAAAGAAATACTTTAATAACCTGTGAGTGAGAAGCTGCAACTTCCTGGCTGAGCAAGCAAACAGACTTCTGCTTCTCAGTTTATTAAACTCAGTATCTAAGTCCCTTTTGCTCTCCCTTCTCAATATCAAGCAACACAGGCACTTGAAGAGCACCTGATGCAAGAAGGGCACTCTGACCTTACATATTCTTTCTGAAAGGAGGAGATAAAACTCCCATGGGATGTGGAGCCAAGGGAGAGTGAATTCTGTACAAGCAGACCTTACTAAAATAGCTGTTACCTTCTTCTTTGGTGGCCTCGTATATTTGGTTACTTTTCTCCAGTTGCCTCTCTTTCTTTCACCTAGCATATAAGCATTAAATTTTGCCCCTTCTTTGAGTTTCCATTTTCCTATGAGGGCTTCCATGTAGATGTAAAAATCTGTTTGATTTTCTCCTGTTAACCTGTCTTTTGTCATTTTAGCTGTCATGCTGAACCAGGCACCCTAATAGGATAGAAGTAAAGTTTTGTTTCCCCTACAACACGAAGGTACTAATGACATCAGAAAAAGTAAAGAAAATCTAAATAAACAATGACAGGGAAATGGTTAAGTATGGTTGAGGCACTGGAAAGAATATTTTCAGGCAATAAAAATGAACTATAAAGCATGTAACAGAATAGCATATTATAACTTTTAAATAAAAACCTGGAATGTAGAGGTATATTTAGTACATTCAGAGTTATGAATTATAAGAGATTTAACAAAGGAAAAGATGAAATCAATGTATTAAAATGTCTCTAGATGGTCAGACTAGATATTTTCTTGTTTTTATAACTTTTTTAATCGTGTGGCACTTACATTACACTTATAACACCTTTAGCTTTAAAAAGGTAAGAAGTTAGGGAGTTAGATGCCTATAGTTAATTACCACCTTTGTTCTACCTTATCCTACCTTCTCCCTCAAAATTTAAGAAGAAAGTATTGCTTTTGTGGCAGTTTTGGTAAAACAACACAGACATACAGTTTAAGGAGTTGGTCTCCACTCAGAGAGAGCTTCTTAGGATGCACACATTTAGATCATGCTGTGTGAAATTGCCAAAATTTGACCTTTTAAAACAGCAACTTCATTTCAACCCAATACTTTGATGAGAACTTTAGAAGTTATAGTCTCTTAGTTCTATAATTCTTGAAACTGGTTTTGATGGTGTAGTTAGAGAGGGTCAGTCGTCTGAGAACTTGTAATAATCAATTTCCAAAGTGATAGATAATCCGGATGCTGATGTGGGAATTCTCAGAGGGGAGGTATTTCTTTCTGGTGATCAGAATACTTTTGTTTTATGCGGAGCCCCTCTTTTCAATTTTCAGACACTTGGGAACTTACTATTTTATTCAGTTATTCCCAAATATTTATTGAATTTTACTATATTATGCCAGACCCTATGCTAGATACCAAGGAAAGAATAGAAGAAAAATTTTAATCAGAAAATTGCTGCATACTATAGAGAAGCGGAGCAAAGGAAAGTGGACCATGTTGAGGCTTAATCATTCAAGACATGAAAAAGTCTCGTGAATTGCCTTGATTCTATAAGATATAAACTTTCTGATGTCCAAATGCCCCACAAAGGCAATGTCTTACTCTGCCTAGAACAGTACTGACAGATGTTCCCTGAAACCATTTTATCCCAGCTTCTTGTCAACTGCCCCGCTCCATTAACAGATTCTTTAGGGCAGGTCTTGAGATAATTGATTAAATATCAGCTTTCATATATATTTAGAGTCTAGATTTCCCTTCCCGAGAAGATATTCTCATTATCTTAATTAGACCTAAACATTTTCCAAATGTCTTCAACCATAGATTTAAAACCATAGGTTTGCAAATATTCTCTTAGGGGACTTCCTCAAATATTATTTCTAAAACCTTAGACAATATACAATGATACCACTCATCATGCATGTTGATACTAAATATATTTAACAACTAGTATACTAATATCATTAATATATAAATCAACAATTCTAAAATCTATTCTTTTACATTACCTAAATAAATCAAACTCTGCTTTCATAAAACTACTTACCAAGTGATACATGTGCTGGTTTCAACAACCAGTAAGGCCACAATGTATTTACCAGCTTTATGTATCTCAAATTTTAGAGCAAAAATGCTGGGGATGCACAGTTCTTGCCAGCTGCATGTTCTTTTCCTTCTGCCACTTTGAAAAATCTGATTTATCACTCTGCATCACAGACATTTCAGTTTTTTCATCAAATTCTCTTATTAATATTTTGTAGAAAAATAAGAATTAGAAGAATGCTTTAAAGATTTGGAAGCTATGATTTCTTTAGCTGCCAATGGGAAGCTTCCTCTTAAATTTATTTTATGAAGCAAAACTTCTTTCAAAAAAATTTTTAATTGAATTTATTTGAGTAACATTGGTTAATAAAATTTTATAGACTTCAGGCATATCATTTTATAACACATCATTTGTATGTTGTATTGTGTGTTCACAATTCAAAGTCAAGTCTCCTTCTGTTGCCATTTACTCCCCCTTTACCCTCTTCTACCTCTTCTACCCATTCCCATTTCCCTCCAACCTTACTCTTGTCTGTGTACATGAGTATTTTTTGTTTTTTGGTTAATACCTTCAACTTTTTCACGCAGCCCCCCAATTCCTGTCTCCCCTGAGAGCTGTCAGTCTGATTTCTGTGTCTGTGAGTGTTTCTGTTTTGTTTGTTACTTTATTTTGTTCGTTAGATTCTACATATAAGTGAAATCATAGGATATTTGTCTTTCTCTGACTGGCTTATTTCACTTAGCATAATAATCTCCAAGTCCATCCATGCTGTTGCAAAAGGTAAGACTTCCTCCTTTTTTATAACAGAGTAGTATTCCACTGTGTAAATATCCTATAGTTGTTTTATCCACTCATCTACTGATGGGCACTTGGGCTGCTTCCAAATCTTGGCTATTATAACAAGCAATGATCATAGGGGTGCATATATTCTTTTGAATGAGTGCTTCAGATTTCTTCGAATATATCCCCAGAAGTGGACTCCCAGGGTCGTACAGCAGTTCCAGTTTTCATCATTTGAGGTACTCTATGCTGTTTTCATCAGTGGTTGCACCAATCTGCGTTACCACCAAAAGTGCAAGGGTTTCCCTCTTCTCCTCATCCTCACTGGCACTTATTTCTTGACTTAATGATGAAAGCGATTATGACAGAGGTGAAGTGATATCTCATTATGGTTTTAATTTGCAGCTCTCTGATGATTAGTGACACTGAGCATCTTTTCATATGTCCATTGGTCATCTGTATGTCCTCTTTGGAGAAGTGTCTGTTCAGGTCCTTTGCTCATTTTTAATTGGATTGTTTGGGTTTTGGTGTTGAGTTTTGTAAGTTTTTTAAATAAGTTTTTAAAATACATTTTGGATATTTTCTTCTTATTAGATGTGTCATTGGTGAATATGTTCTCCAATTCAGTGGGTTGTCTTTTCATTTCGTTCATTGTTTCCTTTGCTG